ATAGATATAGAAATATAATAAATATAAGTAGAGCTAAAATTGAATGAATTGAACATGCCTCATATATTATTAAAAATAACTTAGCTATTTTTAACACAAATTATAGTATATTTCCATTTCAGTTCAGTTGCTATATTTTATTAATCTGATGAATGTCGTAAATTTTATTAGAGTGGCGATAATAGTGATTGGACGTTACTATCATCGCTGAAGATGAGAAAATTTAATGGAATGAAATATTTACTTTGTGAGTTGTACTTCAAGGAGTAGATACAACTCTAAAAAATCGAAAGGTGGAAAATATCTATTTTTTACATTTTCTATGCCTTTATATATAACTGTCTCAGGAAGCTTAGATAATGAAAATCCTTATGCTATGCTGGAAAATAAAAATATTGCTTTAATCATGAAAATTTTTTTATTAAGAAACATCCACCCCTCCTCCCAGTTTGAATAAATAATTAGCCCTAATGATACGAAGAAATTTAAATATTAATGATAATTATACTTGCTTATAACCAAATCTATAGACCGACTACCAATAATAAAAAGACGCTTAACCATTCAAACAATGTTAAACAGGACCTTTTACCACAGGGGAAGGGGTTATAACTCATGATTTGCATTGAAATTAAAATGGGTAGTTTGTATTTGGAATTCCGTTCTTCTAATTTTGATGTGGTATAGGAAATAAGGAGAGTGGGGAAAGAAGGGGGTAGTATTATATTATATGATGAAAAGTCTTTTAATAATTAGGTATTTGAAATAACTTCTAAGTGTAAAAGAATTAGTAAAATATTGTGCAATCTGCTGCAAATATCAAGCTTCGATATTTTTTAAAGAAAGACATTACAATGTGATGGAAATCAGTGTATATCATGATACAAAGCTTCTTATAATCATATGATGACAAGCTTGTCTGTGAACCAACCATATTTAAACAAATTGGTATCAATAAATATAATCCCTATATATAAATAAAAAATTTCTTATAAATATTAAAAGTCTGATCTTCGGAATGTTTAACAAGTTCAAAAAACCTATAAAAAACATTTTAAACTTTTTGATTCACCTTTCTCTACACTCCTAAGGTGTTTAGGCTTGTAATAAAAAATTTTTATTTAAAATCAATTTAGAGAAAAAAGTGTATTATTTTAAATTTTGTCGATGTATAATTTTTAGGTAAGGGTTTGAACTATCATTTTGTATTTTGTAAATTCAGATACAATTATTTTCGGACCTATGACGATTTTGACAGAAATTGATCCAACCACCCCCTGGTCTTCCCTGCCTACCCTGTGAATATTAGACAGTACTCTAATGATCTTTTAACTAAATTTAATGTTGGTAAGGCGATAGTTTAATGGGTAATGTTTTATTTTTTGTTATTATTTGCATTTAAAATCATTAATTGAGTGCGTTTTATTAAATTTAAAAATCTGATTTTGACAGATGCACCTAAATAAGTGTAGAATACCCACCCTTAATGTTGCGCAATCGGTTAATTTTAGGCAATTCCAAAACGGTAGCCAAGTTTTTAGATTAAAAAATCGTCTAAGCATAATTAGGCTTGGCATAAAAATAGCGAAAACTAATTATTCAAAAATTAGGCATCGGCTAAGGAGTCGGTTAATCGCCCGTCATATATCGTTACATAATAAATATATAAAATAATTTTAATAAAGGCTAGGCTTAGTGTTGCGTAACGCTGACGGGCGATTAGCCTAGCTCCCAGTCCCTACATTTTGTCTAATTAGTTTTAGGCGAATTTTCGGTTAAGCCAAATTATGTTTAGCTGATTTTTAGGCTACTAACACTACTTAAATATTTCAGATTAATGTAAATTAAAATTTCTTCAGAAGTTTAATATAAGATCTTCTGAAATTTATAGGGTGGGTATATTCTACACTTATCATAATGCATTTTCGGCAAAATCAGATATAAAATTTAATAAAATGCGCTCAGTTTATGATTTAAAATGAAAAAATAGAACAAAATAAAATTATTAAATACAAAAATATTTTGGCGCAATCGTATGAAATTCCCATGGTAGATTCTCTTCGGAATTGGTAAAATCAGATTTATAAGGGAAATTATAAAAGCGCACTATAAATCAGAGACCTACAGGCCCGACTTTAAACCCGGGACGTATTTTAATTTTTTTAAATACACGGGCCGGGTCAAAAAAAGCTTTTTTTAAAAAACTCGAGCCGGGCCATATATTTTAAAACCAAATATTTTAACACCATTATTATCTAGGCAAATTAAAAATAATTAATATATTTTTTAAAAATCGGGGCCGGGCCAAGCAGATTAAAATAATGCACAAAGCAACTAAATATTGACAAAATTTTAAAACAATTGGCGTAAGGCTGGCTTTGTTGCTAATAGTTTTTTTTTAAATGGCTACTCTACTAGTTAAAGCAAAGCACTAATAGAAACTGATACAGAAGGAAACATTTTCATAATTTTAGTATTACTACTTCTAATTGTTCAGCGTATTTTAAAAAAAATAACAAGAGGAAACTCAAAAATATTATCATAGCAATACAAATCAGGAACGTGAATAAATTTTTTTATGATTATTTTTTCCCTTTTTCTATTCAAGGGTTCCGAGAATTTATATGACGGCATCTGGCTTTTTTTGAGAAAATTGATTTCTAAAATAATACTTAATTCATTTTCTATAAAATTCTATAAAATTATTCTCTATAAAATCCTTCTCTATAAAATAATTCTCTCTAAAACAATTCTCTGTAAAATATTCTCTATAAAATAATTCTCTGTAAAACAATTCTCTGTAAAATATTCTCTATAAAATCATTCTTTATAAACGACATTCTATATAATTGTTTTCTCTTTAAAAGTTTCTCTATAAAATAAATTATCTATAAAATCATTCTCTATAAACGAAATTTTCTACAAAATCATTCTCTATAAAGGAGAATCTCTATAAACCACATTCTTTATAATTGTTTTCTCTTTAAAAGTTTCTCTATAAAATAAATTCTCTATAAAATCATTCTCTATAAACGATATTCTCTATAAAATCATTCTCTATAAATGAGATTCTCTATAAACGACATTCTCTATAATTGTTTTCTCTTTAAAAGTTTCTCTATAAAATAAATTCTCCATAAAATCATTCTCTATAAACGATATTCTTCATAAACGACATTCTCTACAATTGTTTTCTCTATAAAAGTTTCTCTATATTTGCATTCTCTATAAAAGGTTCTCTGTAAAGACGGGATACCGATATTTACATGAATATTTTGGGACTAATATATTTTTCTAGATATATATCTTCGACACCGGTCACTTATCTAGTTGTTATTTATTTTTTAAGTAAATTATGTAGAATTATATTAAGAAAAATATGAATTAAAGATATATATTAAATGAAAGGATGTTAAATTATTAGTTTTCTTGTTTAAGAATCTAAATATAACTCCCAATCTATGATGTTAAACTATTTTCTCCATAAGTGCAGTATGTCCTAGATGACAATTCTACACAAGTATAACAGTCATGCGCGTACGTAGCTGAATAAAAGATCCCCCCAATCCCAAAAATATCAGATGCCGGCTAAAATACATTTAAAAATATTACTGATATACTACATCTTATTGCACATTTAGTTATTACATATTCACAGCAAAAACCAATATGCTACTAATTTATTCTATGATTAATATCAATTTCAAATTATTTGTATATTTTATTCCATCGAGATTACACCCCTCCTCACAGTTATGTTTTTAAAATGCCCAATTCTTTGCCAAATAGTCCAAATTTTTTAACCATACAAGCAAAATCTCAAGGCTTATATAATATTATTTTGGTTATAATCTTAATCGGACCACTTTTAAAAATCTTATATCGGACTTTTTAACTATATTATCTCTGAGGCAAGAATTTAAATCCCAATGCTGTTACTATGATAATTCTTTGTCTGAAAGGTAAAAAAATTAACCTTCTCCGGATGGTATTTCTCTCATACCCTGGTCTAATGGTCTTCCGCTAACATGGGATTACACTTGCGTTGATTTTGCAGCCAAGTCTAACCTCTCATTTTCTGCAATCGAAAAGGCAGAAATCCTTAAAAAAAATAAATACGCTGGCCTCGCCAACACTATGTTCATTCCCATCGTTACCAATACCCTAGGCATGTTTTGAAACGAGGCCCTCAATTTCATTAAAATTATAGGAAAAAAAATGAGACATACCTCAGGGGACCCCAATGATGGATTTTACCTTCGCCAGCAGATTTCCCTGGAAATTTGCCGGTCTAATTTTTTAAGTATTCACTCTTCTCTTGGATGATATATACCCCCCTTTTTAAAATATATATATATTTTTTTATAGTCCTTTTTAATGTCTTCTTAGATTATATATATATTATATATTTATTTATTTATTATATTTAATTTTTAATATATCCATTTTAATATATATTTTTTAATCCTCTGTAATTTAATGATTATGAATAAATAATAAAGTTATCTATAAAAAAAAAAAAAAAAAAAAATTACTTATATCATTTTTAATTACAAAAATTTGCTAATAAATTTATAGTATTATAGATTTTATAAAATAGTAATTTAATTAACAGTTTAAAATAGGAAATAAAAATAAACATGAGTATTTAACGGGCGATATTAAAAAATAAAGTTGCTCATAATAACAAGAAAAAAATATTATTTGAAGAATCTAATAAGATAATACAAAATTAAAAGTTAATAATATCAACATATTTAAGGTATTAAATGAAATTTGTTTCGCCAAATTACAAATTAAAATAATAAAATTATAACACTTATTAAATTAATCTTTAAAAATTATAAGGCTTAAGTTACACCAGAATTACAAATTTAGAACATTTTAAAATAATAGAATTGTTGTATGATAATAATTATAATTCTCACAATTTTTATTTATTGATAGAATTTTTTTCGATTTGGTATATTTTAATTTTTGCGGTGGTGATATTTTTGTCCCTCAATTTGAATAACTTCCAGTTGACCTTACGTTTCATTCATATTAATTTTTTTTCCTATATATTTGAATTTATCCTAAATAATGGCTGATTTTAAAGTTGGAATCAATGGTTTTGGAAGAATTGGCAGACTTGTGTTGCGTGCTTGTATCGCACAAGGTGTTAATGTGGTAGCCATTAACGATCCCTTTATTCCTGCTGATTATATGGTATGACTTCATTATTAAATCCAATTTATTTTTATTTGCATTATGATAGGTGTATATGTTTAAATTCGATTCAACTCATGGACGTTTTAAGGGGGAAGTATCACATAATGGTAATAACCTGATTGTAAATGGAAAACAAATCAGAGTGACATGTGAAAAAGACCCAAAAACCATAGATTGGAAATCTATTGGAGCAAGTTATGTTGTTGAATCAACTGGAGTATTTACTACTATTGATAAATGCAAGGTATAATCATCTTTGTTACTGTACATTTTTAATATATTATGGGTTAGATCTTTTCAGAACCCTCATGTGAGAGAGGAAGATTCAATAGCTAACTTTTATATTTAAATCATAAAAACGATTATTTAAAAATATTCTTATAATTGTCACCATTAACATATATATTTAAATAGTACACATCTATGTGAAAAGGTACTTAATTGGCTACCTAATGTGTAATATATCTTACGCCCATTTGTTTGGTAATAAATTTAGGCTCACTTAGATGCCGGAGCTGTTAAGGTAATCATCTCAGCCCCCTCTGCTGATGCCCCAATGTATGTTATGGGTGTCAATGAGAACAAATATGATGGAAGTGCTCATATTGTCAGCAATGCATCTTGCACTACCAATTGCTTGGCTCCCCTTGTCAAAATTATTCATGAAAGATTCACCATTATTGAAGGACTCATGACTACTGTTCATGCTTACACTGCGACACAAAAAGTTCAGGATGGGCCTAGTCATAAGGTTTGATGATTTTTTTCTTTACATTTTTTTTGCCTTGTTGGCTGTTAAATATTTGACTTTTTTTTGCTATTTTAAAAATATTCCATATTGTTTATTTAAGAAATTATTTGTATAGAATTTAATGTTTATTTTTTATAATTATAAGAAATAGATTGTTAATTTAAATTTTTTCAATCCAATTTGATGTATAAAAACATATGGTAGCCAGATGAAATCTTAGGCCAATATTTAAATTTAAATAAAAAAAATATAAATGTGCGATAAAATTTGTTTTCTTTCCTTTCATCAAATTTTCAATAAAATTGATCATCAACCAAACATGTTAGAATATCCTAGTTGTAATGTAATGACAAACTAATCACTTTTTTTAAATGATCATTTCACAAATCTATAAGCACTGTTTATTAAATATAATGTCGCACTCTTGTGGAATCACAAATGTGCTGGAATGTCCTTTCAAATAAATAAAATGTGGAATAGTGTGACATTAATATTTGAACGATACTATTTTAAATGCATTGTTTTTTATATAACGAAATACAAATGCTCAATTTGCTCGCGCTATAAAGCTAAAAAATACTATTTAAATTGCAGTTTTTTCCCCGAATTTGCAAATTGTAAAAGAAATTCATTCTTGCATATTATGATTTAAATAAAATGGGAGGGGGGGGGGTGTTGCAGAGTTTTTGATAGGTGTTCTCTTAATTTTCTAAGCACCTTTCATCAGGCTATCTAAATTAAATATATTTGAATGAAGCTTCTATCTCAACAATTATATTTTAAGATTTTTAAAATTAAATGAACATTTAGAGGCCCATACTATATCTCAGACGTATTTTAAGATTTTTTTTCTTATTTGTAATAATATGTTTAACGACAAATGTGTTATTATTTTGGCGCGTTTTTTTAAAATATTTAAAAATCTGATTGTTTGAAATACACATGTACAAATTTCAGATAATTTTGCCAACTTTTCAACTACTTAATATAATCAAAAGTTACTGTATCTACAAAATGAACATTGAAAAAATAACACATTCCCGCAAACATATACAAAATCTTGTAAAAATAACACATTCCCGCAAACATATACAAAATCTTGCAAAAATTTTTTAAAATCTGAGAGGATCAGGTTGAAATTCTTACGGAATTCATTATACGCAAATTTATTAAAATTTTTATAATAATCTCTACTTGTATGCACCTCCCTATAAATCCCCATGATATATATGACTACTTGTCATACTTTAAATTCAAAATTATGGCTTTTTTCCCCTATATTCATGACGTTTTTTTTAACAATAATATTTTCTTTATTATTAAATCTCGTTATTGTGTAGTGTTTACTTTCTTAACATATTTATTAATTACGCAATTGTAATTGACAATAAAATATTTACGGCACTCTCAATGACATATAATATTACTTGAGCTGACACAGCGTCGTTGAATGCAAATCAGCTGGACCCGCCATTTTGGTAACTAGTAATTATTCTCATGTTATAAACTGCTATTAAATTGATAGCTTGCTTTCTTATTATCTCGAGAATCAGGCAGGCAATTCTTTAATAAAGTTTGTGTCAGACATAGGAATAAATTGGCCTATTTTTTAAAAATTTTTAATAACGATATGGGTAATTAAAACGGCCCAGCTGTTTTCATTGATGTACACTTTTAATGAAAGCATCATCAATCTAGATTTTGGGACCTTCCTTTAGTTATATAATTATCGCCAAAAAAATTAAAATATGCAAATTCTAATAGTTTAATGACACCATTATTTCTCAATAGGTGTCGGGTATATTACGATGACACGATCTCTTCAATCTTAAAAAATTTACCCGTCTGCCCATCGTCTATGAGTTTTTTAAATCTACCATGTGCTAGCTGGTTAATACCCGCCCATAGCCCTCCTCCCTCTATAATATAATTTGGGATTACTTGCCACATAATCTTATATATATATTTATTGCTTCTCTAATAACAAAACACACAGGATTGGAGAGGTGGCAGAGGCGCCGCCCAAAACATTATCCCATCCTCGACCGGTGCAGCCAAAGCTGTGGCGAAGGTTATACCCGAGATGGCAGGCAAGCTCACCGGCATGGCTTTCCGAGTTCCGGTTCCGGATGTTTCGGTTATCGATTTAACAGTCCGACTCGAAAAACCGGCCGAAAGTATGGAGGTTATTGGGGACACCATCAAGGATTACATCCAGAACAAGGGCATGGCACGTTACGTGGGGTACACCAACGAAGAGGTTTATTATTTTTTACCAACAAAACGGTAATTAGTATGAAAAGAATGAAACCAGTTCAAAATGAAACAAATAAGTTGAAATTTTCGGATTTGCAGCTGAACCTTTTTAGAGATTTTAAAATATTTTAAGTGAAATTATCCCATTTCTTTACCTCTAAATGGCTATAATTTTTTATAAAAAAATCTATATCATTTTTTAAAAAATATTTATTTTGAAAAGGTTGTGAATTCTGATTTCATTGGCGACACGCATTCGTGCATCTATGATCACAAAGCTGGCATTGCCTTGAACCCGCACTTTGTCAAAATCATTGCGTGGTAAGTAAACTTTTTTTAAAACACTCTAAATAACATGCGTTTCACTTTTGTGACATGAACCTCGGATTGTTAATCTCAACTTCTGACTAATAGTCAAAATGGAGGGTATTTTACCTGCACATATTTTTACCTGTAACATTACAAAACAAATGTTTTCTCTTGGACATTTAGGAAGAAACGTTTTTATATAGGTTAATTTAGCATTCAAAAGTCCTATATCATTAAATAGATATAATTCTTCAAATTTCATTCTATTTATTCAATAAAATGTATATTTTGTTCAATATCAATTTTTATGATGTAAAGAATAGTTTTAAGGATTAATTGAATATTCTTTATTTAAGAAATTAAAAAGAATTCTTACAGTTTATGTAATAATTCACTTAAAAATTAATTTGCTGAATTATGACTAATTTCAAATCAAACACCATCCGAACATTTTGGGATCACTGGAAAATAAACCAAGGTCCATCTTAAAATATTTAAACTAAATTTTTATTCTAATCTAATTGTATTTTATTTATAAAATAATTTTTAGGTATGACAATGAATACGGGTACAGTAACAGGGTTGTTGACTTGATCAAACATATGGCCGAAGTCGATGCTAAAAAACACTAAATAGTCGAAATGCTAAAACAGGAAAAAAAGCCTAAATTTACGTGTTCCTTAAAAACAATTATATATTTATTTTTTTAAAAAATTATTTCAAGACAAAAAAACATAATCAGATTAATTAATTATACCTTTTTTTATTTAAGTGTGAAAAATAGGAATTTTTTTTTATTCTTTCGACGTTATCAAGAATATTATAATTTATATGTGAATTTTTTTTTTTAAAAGTGTTATTTTTTTGGTTTTTTAAATTATATACTCATAAACTAGCTAAATTATTTGCAATCATGTTATTATTATTTTTTTAAAAAAAATCAAATTTTAATTAGCGAATTTTAAATTGTGATCGTTCAAGAATATCAAATAAAGTTAAATGTCTATATATTGTTAATGTGTTGATCATATGTTTTTGTAAGACCTAAACTCAGGCTGGCCCCGAATTTTTGTTTGTTTGTAGACCCAAAGTATGAAGCAGCTATGCAAACCCGGACAAATTTTTGCCAGCGTTCGTTCGGTTTAAGGTTAATAAAGGTGGGTTCGGTTCAGGGAAATATTTTTGAACCCGGGTTCAGCTCGGGTTTAAGAATTTTTGAATTGATAAAATAAAATATTCTATATTTAAATCATAATTAAAAAACTAGACGTGAATTGGTATAAAAAATAAATTTTTTATTTTATTTATATGTTAAATATAGTTAAAAATACAAAGTCATGTGTATCAATTTTAAAAATTTTATTTAGACGTAAACAATATCCAATATTATAATTTTTACTTTGACTTGTTCACTTTCATTTTCCTCTAATTAATAATCTTTGAGAATAAATTAAAACGTATATGAATTAAGTTGTCTAAAATTTATTAACAATTCACCTAATTGGAAATTTGAAAATTTTGTAAAATGTCAAGTAAATTATCAATATTTAGTATTTACAATTATACAAATTTCTTATATTAATTTAAAACTATACATTGTTAAATCAAAATTATAGATTTAAATAAACATTATTTTTAAGCCTGGTTCTGGGTCATTTTTAAAAAAAAATTTTGACAACTAGTTCTGTTGCTTTAGATTTCTAGAAATGAAACATGCTTTGTTACTTTCGAATAGTTTATTAGACTTATGCCAGATCTGTGCGCCGGAAATACTATCGGCGGCCACCTTCGGGGACCTAAAAATAATACATCACGTGAGTCTAATAAACGCGGCCCATTCTTTTAGTTGCCGTCAACACAGGTGGCGTAAAGCTGTGCGCTGTAATCTTGTAAACGAAGTTCATTTTATTTCTGACAAACGCTTTCGTTTTTTTAACATTCTTTTACTTATAGAAAATCTTATTATTAATTTGAAAATAAAAAATTATTAATTTTAATCAGCTGTTTTCCCTTTATCACATTTGATTTTTTTTTAACCAATCACTAATAGTATAGTTTATTTTAAATATTATTTATAGATTAAACGTAGGCATGGGTGTTGTTATTTCATTAATATCTTATATCTTCAATAAACTAATTAAATCCTTCCCAAATGTAAAGTGTGTCCAACAACAAGTATGATAGCTCAAAATCTTCTAGTTCTAATTTAAGGAGATACTTGATTGTAAAATTTATTATTTTGTATAATACAACTATTATTCATTTTAAAATTTTTCTTTAGAAAATTAATTTTATTAGCATAATTCTATATCAGAACTAGAAATTGGTAGAACTGTGTCAAAAAAATAAAGTAATTGAGTACATTTTTATAGGAAGTATTCTGGATAACAGTTTTTTTAAAGGTATCATTTCACTATCTCTAAGTCTGGCTTTGTTAGGATTTCTAACAATCAGCTAATCTAACAACTGTAAAAATTTACTCAGAATTATATTCATTTCAAATTTCATAATTTTTGTGATTACAATTGTCGAGCTTATTATGACGTTTGGAGTCGTAATTTACTTATTAAACAAGTAAATTAAAAACAATTTTTTCTTTCTTTTCTGAACTTCATTTGACATCAATGTTACGTTTTGCTTATACAATATTACAAAAATTAACGATTTTTTACAAAGAATTAGAAATCAATTTTTTTTTATAAAATGATTGTTTAATAATTCTAAAGATAAATTTACAACTGAACTAGAAAATGTTATATAAATATAATATAGATTTTTTTAAAAAAATAATTTTATGAGAAAATGCATTAAGATAGAACTGGACAAGTTCAGAGAACTATGATGTCACAATTCCCATCAAAGAAGAACAATAATTTTTTCAAGATCCATGATTAAGGTTTAAAAAAAAATGTTTATATTTTAATGTATAAATACAATGGATATTCATATAGGTTGGTCTTTGGCGATCTCAGCTATTACCTAATCTAAAAATGAATTTCCATGATTTCTTTTTTAGTAAATTTAATAAATTTTGAAAAAATCATCGATGAGGTTCTATATTTCAGGCCCGGTCCTGATTTTGTTTTTAAGAAATTTTAACCACCCGCATCGGATTTTTCTAAAAAAAATTTTTAAATACCCCCCCCCCCCCCCCCCCACTAGAAATTTTTTGATAAACTTATTCGGAGTTTTTTTTTAGAAAAAAATTATAATCATTTTGGCTATATCATGCAAATTGTTTCAAACGGTAAATTAAAAATATGAGGAGTGTAGACCGGGGTTATATTTTGTCCATATAAAATATTGAAGTGTTGTAAAAAAAAAAATATATGAAGCAAATATTACAAAATTTTTAAAAATATTTTTTATTCTTTACGTAATATCAACGGCAGACAATTAATATTTAAGATAGAAATCTACGAATTATCAAAAACACCCGGGGTACCTATTATCTAGTGATGTTAAAAGTTACTTTTGAAACATAACTAGTTACAGTTACTAGTTACATTGGCAAAAACATAACTAGTTACAGTTACTAGTTACATTTTTACAAAAGTAACTAGTTATTAGTTACAGTTATTTTCAAAAGTAACTAGTTACTTACTTTATACATCATTCATATGCGCATTATTTATTTATTGACATTTATTTAATATAAAAAAAACAAAGTATAATCAGTTATTAAATAATATACAATTTATTTATATAAAAAATATCGCAAAATTGAATATTTACATCGAATACAAAAATATATATTTGCATTGAAAAAAAAACATTTATTTTTCATAAAAATTAGAATCTAATAAATGTTTATTTGCTTTTAACAACAAATTAATTTCAAAGTTATTATCTAGAAGACGTGCTCGTTTATCTTCAAATATGAGCTTACCTAGACTGAACAAGCGCTCTACGGGAGCACTTGATGTTAGAACAACATTATATTTAATAAAGAGTAATTTTAACTTTGGAAAATCGTTATATAAAGAAAACGTGTTGTTATTAGATTTGATAAAGTTTTCTATAAGTTCATTATCCAGAATATTTTGGCGCTTTAGGTCAAAAAATTCAACTACATCAAGTGATGTTGGTTTTGAGCATGATTCATTCGTCTGGGATTCACTCTGAGGTATTAAGGTATTTATTAAATTTAAAATTTCCTCCTTTTTTGCTTTATTCCTTTCTTGCCTAATCCAAGGCCAGTCAGTTTTAAATAAAGGGTGAAGAATTGAAGCAATGATGTTGTCATTATCATAAAGATTATTAAACCTATAACATGATATTATTAATTTATAAATAATTATTTGATTTAAGTTACCTTTTTTCAATACTAGCTAATATAGTATCCTTTAGAGGTTGACAATATTTTAATACCTGCACATCTGCCATACATATAATTATTTGTGTTATTGTTGGGGTATAATAACCCAGATACATGTACTTTTCACCTTCAAGAATATCAATGGCTTTGGACACTGGTCGCATAATCTAATTTTTAAATTGTAAATTTTTATAAGACTTTAATTTAAATTTACACTACAATATTCTTTTATAAAATCACGATCATCTGATGTGAATCTACCCAATTTTAATTCATCACATAATGAATCAAATTCCACAGGCACTTGATTTAAGAACGATAATATTTTGGCCAGGAATTTATAAAAGGAACCCCACCTTGTTATAACGGGATATGGGAGTTGAGAATGTAATTTTTTTAAAATAAGTTCGGCAGATGGCCCAGATTTATTTTGAAGGTTCCACAAACGTTGGCATTTAGATATAGCTAAGTTATAAACTTTCCTATACCCCTCATTGTTTAAAAGTAACTTGTTGGCATCTTGTGTTGCCACTAAGTTTAATGTATGGCAAGAACATCTTCGATGCTTGGGAAGGTAGTCGAAGTCATTATTATCATAACTGGAGAGCCCAGAAGAAGACATTATATCTTCTATTGAGATATATTCAATATCAGAAACAGAATCTTCCTCCATTATAATAGATGGGCAGCTAAATACTCTAAGAGAAATAATTTATAAAGTAAATTAGTTAGGCATACCTAAACGCCTTTGAAAAGTTGCTAGCATTATCCGTTATTGTGCAGATATTTTTATTTTGGATATGGAACTCCTTAAAAACAGCAGTTAAGGCTTTGCTGATCACATCATATGTATGCCTACCTTGTAGTCTTTGGCAGGCTAGAATAGCTGAACGCCTTTCCAATTTCTCCACATCAATCCAATGCACTGTTATACCAATATAGGAGCTATTATTAATATAACAAAAGATAACCAAATGTATTGTGCACTTTAGTAAAAAATAATATTTACCGATTAAATGCTGTCCAGCAGTCAGCTGTTGTACAAACATAATTAGGCTCTAACAATTTTTCTATTAGAATATCTTTCATTTGAACAAAATATTTTGATATTCTTGAGGTTAAGGTTTGTCTGCATATAATCTTCATATTAGGTTGCAGGGTGTTTATCAGCTCAACAAAATCTTCATCATCACAGGTTGTATATGGGTGATTTCCATTTATTATATATTTAATAATTTGTGAATCAAATTTATCTTTGCTGATACCTTTAAAATTTGATTTTCCACCAAAGTCAAGTTTAGTTTGTTTTAACTTACTTGATGTGGCTGAATTGTTTTTTTTATTATCTATGGTTTGTTTTATATTTACGGATTGGTTAGGATGCTTTCTCTATAGATATATGTTTTATTTATATAAATATTTAATTAATATTAATTATTGTTATAAAGTTAATTCATTTAATTATTCTATATAATATTAATACAATTTATATAAACTTACAGAGATATGTTTCCATAAATTAGCTGTGGATGACTTAGATGCTGCAATATACTTTTTATATGGTAGGCATAAGAGGCATTTGACAATAATATTAGTATTATTACCAGCCTTGTGGTATTCAAAATATTTTTCAAAACTTGGCCAAGGAAGGTCATTTTTTTTTGCAATTATTGTAGGAGAGTATAATTTCTTCATCTGACTCAGAATCCATATCCATATTGTATTCTGTTTCTTCCATCTAGGAGATAAATATAAATAGCACTATCTAAATTAGGAATAGAATAATCAATTAGAGTGAAACATACAGTTCTAAAATGTGTCTATTTTATATATAATTTGAATATAAATAAAATTCAGGCTAGACCAAAAAATAAATTTCAGAAAGCAATCATTTTTTTAAATTTGAGTCATGTTCTTATGCTTTTGTTAGACATGGTTCTTGTAAGTAATGATTAATAATTTAATATTAAATTCTAAAATAATCTGTCTTTGTTTTTCCTTATACTAAAAAATTTTTTTTATTACGTATGATATGAAGTTCCAATGCTTGTTACTTGACGGAAAAAAATATATTGTGCTACATTTGTAAATAAATATAATATTAAAATTTATTAAATTACTTGAATTTCCTTACAAAATTATGAAGCCCAGCAGCAATGTAACAATTTAAGAAAAGAAAATCAATTTGAACGGGAAATTATAACAATCAGACATTTTCACAAAATATTAAATTAATAAATTTAATTTAAAATTAATTTATCACAAATATTAAAAATAAAATTAATTATTTGAATATATCGTTAAAAGTAACTAGTTACTTTAGGCAGTTACATTTCAAAAATTATAACTAGTTACAGTTACTAGTTACAATTTTAAAAATATAACTAGTTACAGTTATTTTTTGTAACTAGTTACTTGTAACTAGTTACCTTAACATCACTACTATTATCCTTCCGCGTTGCGAGTCAGCTAAAAAAAATTATACAGAAAAATGTTAATTCTAAATAAATAAATTGTCAATTATGTCAAATTCACCAGGTCCATCTATATTATATATATATATCACCAGAAAGAACTTGTCAATTAAAAGTTAAAACTGTCATATAATTTACAATAAATACGTCAATCATCTTTATATTATCATTCGGGGTCCTAGACAAACTAGTGGCTTTCAGTGTTCTCATAAATTTAATCTGTTTTTTTTTAAATTCAAGATGAACTCTGAAACAGAAAAGAAGAAAAATTCTGCATTATAATTTTGAGAGTCAAAATACTTAAAAAAAAAATAGGATATTAAAATAATTTTGATGTAAAAATTTTTTCAATAATCAAATTAAATTGCTTTGTTGTAAGAAATATATTTTAGAAGTATAAAGTTATTTTCATTATTAATTGTTGTATAATATCATTAAAATTGTATAAAAAATATATAACTGCAAAATTATCATATTTAAAGAATTATGTTTTTTTAGTGGAATAGAGTGGAAGAATAGATATATTGATTTTAGACGGCTGAGAAACAAAATTTGCTTTGGATATCGAAGAATTCAGGTTTAGTAATTGTTATTTAAGTTTTTAAAAAAAATCGCAACTAATGTTCGTAAGCAATAATATTTATATGAATGCTTCTAGGATCATCTAGCTAAGTCTTTGGATCTTATATTCTATTTTCAAATATTTTTTCACTCACAATGAAATTCCTTTCACTTATACTATAATCTTTATAATGTTGCTAAGACAATTAGATGAACCTAAAATCTATTTTGACTTTATTTTTACGTTATAGATCAAAAATCAAAGTGAAAAAGAAGACGGTTAAAATTACTATATAAACTTTTTAACAATTTTTTTTTCTTCTTGCACAAAATATCTAGATTTGATTTATTCTGAAACTATAGATAATTGGTTTGGACATTGAAAAATTATTTTCTGATCTGTTGATTTCTGGGGAATTTTCCAGAGATTCTTTTCCAGGGTTCCGATAATAAATTAAACAAATCGCATCATTCATGAGTTTAGTTTTGAATACTACAGATAAATTTGCAAATGTAACTGCTTCTTTAAAAATATGTATCTTGAAATTTATTTACGATTTTTATAAAGAGAATCTGGAAATCATTTATTAATATCGAATCTTTAATTCAATGATTGATTTAATAAGTTAAGATATATATCTTTATGTGCAATGAATATTATACGAAAGGAGAGGGTGTAAAGATATGATATTGTAAAATACATTACCATAAAAATGGGGGATACAGCTGTAAGATGGCTTATCAAATTATATCTGTTAGGAGCAAAACAGTGGGTTGGATATGGGAAGAAATCAGGTTTAATTGTTATTTTGTTTGTTATTGGTTTATATAAATTATTTTTAAAAGATTTCAAGTAATAATAAGGCAAGGTTGGACAGCAGGTGCAGGAATACATTTATTTTATAAAATCTTTGAGAAACGTTATGGATAGTTTTTGACAAATTTTTTAAGATTTATGAAATCAGCCTAATATTTAACTAAACTAAATATGAGTTCTTAAATCTTTTTTTTTTATATCTAGGATTAGAATAGCTATAGGAAAAGAGTAGGATTAGATTAGATTAATTATTTTTTAAATAAATATATTGTAATTCGTAAATATTAGTAGAGTAGTTCGATATGGTTAATTTTTTATTGAAATTCAAAATAATATAGATCTCGGAACAGGATAATAGAAGATATTCAAATTGGAAATGGAGAAGGAATTCGAAAAGAGATAGATGAAAGAATTCCAAAATGGATAAGGGGGGGGGGAGGACTTAGAATCCGGAAAGTAGAAGGAATTCAATAATAGGTAACGCAATTCGGGATTAGAAGGGTAATTCAATACGATACAGGAAATGGATCTCGGAACAAGATATTAAAGGATATTCAAATTTATAATGGATGGTGAAGGAATTTGAATGAGGATAGGAGATGGAATTCGATAAAGGATAGGTGTAGGAAAGCGAAACGGGATAATGTAAGGAATTCAATAGTAGTTAAGAAGGAAACTCAATATGGGATAGGTAAAGAAGTTTGGGATGGGAATAGTAATTCAATATGGTATAGGAAATGAATCTCGGAATAGGAAAATAGAAGATATTCGCGTTCAAAGAATGGAGATGGAATTTTAAAGTGGATAATAGAAGGAATTCGAAAAAGGGACAGTGTAAGTATTTCAACAAGAGTTAGGAAGGAAATTCAATATGGAATAGGTAAAGGGGTTTGGGATAAAAATAGTAATTCAATAAGATACAGGAAATGGATTTTGTAAATATTTATAAATTCGAAAAACTGGAGACATAATTCAAAAATAAATTGGAGAAGGAATCGAAAAGGGAAAGCAGAAGGAAATCGAAAAGAGATAGATGAAAGAATTCTAAGATAGATAGGGGGGGTGGGGGGGGGGGGGGGGTAATTCGAATTGGTATATTTAGAAGAAATTTAAAAAGGGATAGGTAAAGGAATTCCGGATTAGAGGTTTAATTCAATAAGATACAGGAAATGGATCTCTGAATAGGATAATAAATGATATTCGAATTCAAAATGAGGATGGAGAAGGAAGGAATTCGAATAGGGATAGGAGATGGAATTGGAAAAGGGAGATTGGAAGGAATTCTAAATAGGATAGCAGAAAGAATTCGAAAAGGGATAGATAAAATAATTCTAAAATAGTTAGAGTGAGGAATTAGAATCCGAAAAGTAGATGAAATTCTATGAGAGTTAGGAAAGAATTTCAGTATAGGATAGGTAAAGGAATTGGGGATAGGAAGGGTAATTCAAATATAGGAAATGGATCTCGGAACATGATATTAAAAGATATTCGAATTCAAGAAATTAGAAGGAATTCGAATAAGAATAGTGGATGAAATTTGAAAAGGGATAGGAGAAGGAATTCTAAAAGAGATAGATGAAAGAATTCTAGAATGGATAGGGGATAGGAATTCGAATCTGGATAGAATAAAGTTCGGAAAAAATTTCAATAAGGTATAAATGAATAAATTCGGGACAGGAAGGGTATTTCAATATGATATAAATCATGCAATAGGATGAAATATATATATAAATTCATAAAGTGGATCCATTATTCAAAAAGAATTAAAGATGAAATTCGAAAAGATAAGTAGATAAATTAAGATATGAGAAGGAATTCGAAAAGGGATAGATGAAAGTATTTAAAATGTATAGGGGGAGGAATTCGAATCGTATTGTGTGAGGAATTCAATTAGAGTTATTCAATAAAGGATAGGTAAAGGAATTCAGGATCGGAAGTGTAATTATAGTACAGAAAATAGATCTCGAACCAGGATAATAGAACATATTCGAATTCAAAATGTGAAGGGAGAAGGAATTCGATTAGGGATAGGAGATGGAATTCCAAAAGGGAAAGAGAATGATAATGAATTTTGTGTAAGGAATTCGAAATCGAATGAGGAGGAATGAATTCTAGATAGTAGAATGAATTCAATAAAAGTTAGGGGAAAAATATATTTACTGAATATAGGGAATTTGGGATGTAGGAAGAGCAATTCAATACGATATAGGAAATGGATCTCGGAACAGGATAATAGAAGATATTCGATTTCAAAATTGGAAATGAGAAGGAATTCGAATAGGGATAGAACTCTAAAATGGATAGGGAGAATAATTCGAATAGGGGTAGTGAAAGAAATTCCATAAAAGTTAGTAAAGAAATTCACTATGGTATAGGTAAAGGAACTAAGGATGGGAAGGATAATTCAATAAGATATAGTAAATGGATCATGCAGTAGGATGATATATATAAATTCAAAATAGAAGATATATTATTCAAAAAGAATTAAAAATGGAATTTGAAAAGATAAAGGAGATGGAATTCAAAAAAAGATTGGAGAAGGAAAGAAAAGGATGAAAGAATTCTAAAATGTATAGGGGAAGAATTTGAATCCGTGTAGAAGGAATTCAATAAGAGTTCTGAAAGAAATTCAATAATGATAGGTAAAATTTAGGATTGGAAGGGTAATTCAATAGTACAAGAAATAGATCTCGAGCCAGAATAATACAAGATATTAAAATTCAAAATAGGAATGAAGAAGGAATTAATTCGAATAGGGTTAGATGAAAGAATTCTAAAATGGATAGGGGGAGGAATTCGACAAGACATAGATGAAAAAATTCTAAAATGGATTTATTTAGGAATTCGAATTCGGATAGTAGAAGGAATTCAATAAGAGTTAGGAAAAAAATTTATTGACAAAGGAATAATTCAGGATAGGAAGGGTAATTCAATAAGTATAGTAAATAGATTTCAGAACAGGATAATAGAATATATTCCAAATCAAAATGGAAAATGAGAAGGAATTCGAATAGGGCTAGACAATGGAATTCTTAAAGGGATAGAAGAAGGAATTTGGAAAGGGATAGGTTAAAGAATTCTATAATGGATATGGGGAGGAATTTGAATCAGGATAGTGTAGAGTTAGGAGAGAAATTTATTATGGGATTGGTGAAAAATTCGGTGTAGGAAGGGTAATTCAATAAGAGGAAATGGATCATGCGATAGGATATATATATATTGAAAAAATATAGAAGGAATTCAAAAAGGGATAGATGAAAGAATTCTAAAGTGTATATGGGGAGGAATTCGAATCGTGATTGTAGGAGGAATTCAATTGGAGTTAGGAACAATTCAATAAGGGATAGGTAAAGGAATTCAGGATAGGAAGGGTAATTCGATAGTACCGGAAATAGATCTCGATCCAGGATAATATAAGATACTCGAATTCAAAATGGGAATTGAAATGAATTCGAATAGGGATAGGGGATGGAATTCCAAAAGGGAAAGAGAAGGAATTCGATAATGGGTGTTGTTAGGAATTCGGAAACGAATAGGGGGAGGAATCGAATTCTAGATATTAGAATGAATTCAATAAGAGTTAGGGAATTCTAAATAATTCGGAATATGTTGATAGAAGATTTTTTGGAAAAGTAATTCGAAAAGAGATAATAGATGAAATGTGAAATGGGATAAGATAAGAAATTCAAAAAGAGATAGGTGAAAAAAATTTATAAAATTGATAAGGGGGAGGGGAATTCGAATCGGGATAGTAGAAAATTAATAAGATGAAAAAATTCAATAAGAGGTGGGTACTGGCATTCGGGATCGGAAGGGTAATTAAATACGGTATGGGAAATGGATATCGCAATAGGAAAATAGAGGAAATTCGAAAAAGATTTTTTTAGAAATAATTCAAAAAGGGGATAGGAGCACATATTCGGAAACAAGTATGAAAAAACAATTTTAAAATAAACAGGGAAAAGGGATTTAGCCAAGGAATAGGAGAAGGAATTTGAAGTTCTAATGATGACTTCTAGATTTTTTTTCTTAATATTAATTATTTTAAAAATGTTCCACAAACTTTCATTTATTAAATTTCAATTTATTTATTAAATAGGTTCAGGTTGTATTATGGCTTTAAATATTTTTAAAACCATTATACATCCTTGGTCTTGGTGTTTGTTTATTTTTTTCGTAAACCAAGACCTAAAAGCACTTAATCATGGTTGCCTCCAAGTTGGCTAAGAGCGGAAACATAAACATATGGCTAAAACCACCAATAAACCAATAATTGTTTTTTTAAATTTTGTTTACCAGTAACGCCACAGGGTGAAACTTTTCTAAATATTAATTATCCAAAGGTCTCTCTTTGTGGGAATAGAGCTGGACTCTTCCCAGGAGTCGCGAAATGACACATCTTATTCCCACTGATTTCTTAACTCAGATCTGGGTAAAAGGTTTTACGTATTTGAATTATGTTCCTTATATTTTATGTACATTCTTCACAATCATAAGACGAATTTCAACATTTTCTATTCAAAATTATTGGTTGATCAAAGAAAATATTTTTAATGGTTCAAAATACTTATACAACTTTTTGTGTATTTTTAGGAAAAATTTGATCAAAATTTACGGTTTAAATAAGCATTTCTCAAGAATATTTTCTCTCATTTATTAAACTTTTTGTTACTCGAATATTTTTAATCAGACAAGTTTATATCCCTGTAATTAATATCATTATCCATTCCTTATATCTTAAATTCTATGTAATATTATAAACTTGACCGTCTTATCAAAATGATCGCAATCATAATTAGGAATCGTCGATCTGGTATTTATCAAAATATGCTTGACTGCTAATTAAATTAGCGAATGTATATTTCGATTTTTTTATCAACATCTTGGTAAAATTATTATAAATTCGGAAATGGTACTATCAAGATAAAAAGATAGTATTTTTTTCTTTGTTAATATACTACTATCATCTCTCATATACTCGTCGTCATTAAAATAAATTCATTAATCACGAATCACATCACAAAAGTGATATATATATATGAAAATTAGTATTGTTAAAATGGCCGATTTGGTCGATTATTAAAAAGGGCCGGATTAGCATTTTGGTCAAAATAATACTATTTGAGCCTCAAAATTTGGTAAATAGATGCCCCCTCATGTCATCTATGAGAAAAATCTTTAAAAATCAACCTCGAACCTATTTATTAAAGAATGATAATAATGACATAATAAATCCATATAAACTGTAATATAAAATGTATGAAATATAATAATATCTTCTATAGCATTTATCACAACTTTGAAACCATTTATTAGTATATAGTTATATATGTACTTTACCTTTATGATAATTTGTTCCAACTCGTTTAGAATCCTTCCTTTTCTTCCCTAGTCCCTGTTTTGCTATATCATGAAATCTTTTTTTTTATTGTCCAAAATATTATATTTATAAATTCAAAATTATATAAAGTAATTCCTATAATTTTATTAAAGTTCATTGTTAAATAAGGTTTCTCTTATTTTATTTTAAACTAGTTCTTTTTTTTATCCCTCTTTTGCATATAAATTAGAAATAGCCTTTTTATATCTCTTTGGTTACATAAAATTAAATATAGTTTTCTCAAGTCCCTCTTTTGTTTGATTTTATTACATTAAAATGAAACATAGTATTTGTCTTTTAATGAAAGGTTTCTCATACTTTGGAATTCCTTAGTAAGGTGTTTATTCATTATAAATTAGATAGGTAGGCCCTGCAGATCGTCCTAAATCCGGAGGTTTAATTAGAGTTCCGAAAAATATAGGGGGTTAGTTTTATCCTCAATTATGTTATAAAACTAATACAACTCCTCCTGGCAAGGTTCCTTTTTCACTTACGCTATATTTTAATTTATAATTGAGCTCTTTATTTTCCCTATAAATGTGACTAATGTTTATCTTTATCTGACGATCTTATATTTTAATTTATAAATTTTTACTTAATTAATTGCATTTTATAAAAGTCTATTATTTTTATGGTTTAATAAAATATTGAGTTTTAAAATATTTATAAATTAATTATATTTTATAAAGGTCTATTTTATATTTTTGTAGTTTAATAAAATTAATATCGAGTTAATCATGATCCTTACCAGATCTCAAGGGTCAGAGGATCTTTAAGCGGCTGTTATCGTGAGTGATACTACGACTAATGTACCTGAATCTGAACTTCTTAAATTTTTATACAATATTATTTATGGTAATTAATTGTTAGCTGTCATGGTGATAGTTATAAATCTCATATTATTTTAAGGAAGATTCAGAATATTATTAAAGTCTTCTTTTCCGAATTCGTTTAGAATTCTTCTTATACTTTGCTATCATTCCTATATAAAGGTTCATTATGATGCGATATTATTTATGGTAATTGATTGTTAGCTGTCAAATGTTTGATAAATGTTACTAGTCATAAATTTTATCTTATTTTATGTAAGGTACAATGTCTCATATCGTTTTAAAATCAGCTTATTTACAAGATTTGGAACAGGCAATTTATTGATACAAATAATCGGCAAATATGACTTATTTTAGGAAAACTTTAAACCAGAAGTATTAGTTGAAAAGTTAGCGCTGAAAATTTTGGGTAATAGTACTACCTGGCGTCCAGATGTAATGCATCCTGAAATAATGAGGGAAGCTATGTATGAGGTGTTAGAAGAACTAAATGTTTTGAAGGTAGAAACTAATAAAAAAATTGATTCACTTGAAAATGAAACTTTAGAAGAAGAGAAAAAATTTATTGAAATGATTATTGGAGCTGGCAAAAAACATCAGGTTATTTTTTATTATGGTAAATTCCAGAAATGTGCTAATACTTTGGTATTAGTATCAGCCAATAAATTAGCTTATACCATTGGCCATAGGTCAATTTTTTAAATGGTAGAAACATAATTAGCTAGGGATTTCCCAGTAAATTTTATTGTAGAACTTCAGACCTACTTATTATAAATAATTTAGGGTCTGCTTTTTTTATAATTTAAAAGAATATTCTTATTTATAATGACATATTGGGATCTTTCAATTTTAAATGATTTATTCAGGGAGATTCTTAAAATTTGATTTTAATAAAAATATATTCAAGCATCAAACAAATTTCAACCAATTTTCCATATATAATTTTTATATACATAAAAATTAATATTATAAATCAAAAGTTCTTAACAAAATTGTCTGAAATTATAGTACAAGTACTCTATATAGTATAAAATTTAAAAATTTCCCTTAGTTAAATCATTTAAAATTATGAGATTCCATATCCTGGGGGAGGGGGAGTGTTGGGAAAAATTTCCTATTATTATCCTAAAAAGATATTTAAAACCAGGCAAATTTCTGAATAGCCCCTTTTTGCTATAACTATAAGCAATGAATGACTAGCATAGATCATGATTATTCTTATTTATCTAAATATGTGAGGTTTATCAAGATTTTAGCAAAAAATCTTATCTAAATTCCAACATTTTGTCAAAAGAGTGGCCAATATTAATATACCTTTATATAAATTAAAAATCACCCAGATTAAGCTATGAATTGAGGAAATAAAATATCTACAAATTTCTAAGCAGATGGGAAAGAAAAGAAAGAAAGTGCCATTAATTTTTTATCTTAATACATTTATTTTTTATAAAATAAAATATATCCCATACAAGCACGACTAAATTTTATAAAAGTATATAAAATAAATTATGCTTATTAAGTTTAATTAATATTGAAAGACATTTTTATGACAAAATGATAAAAAAAATCAAAAAATATTTCTGTGGGAAATGAAGACTGAAAATGTCATGTAATATTATTATTTTTTTAAAAAAATAAACTTTTTTGAACATTTCATTCTATACTATATTACAATGGTGTGCATATTTATCAATTTTTGAAAGTCATTATTTTATTTACAAATTAATCAAAAATATGGGATTTTTTTTCATCAGATCTGCACAACACTGTGATTAGTGTGTGAATGTTGGGGAAAAAAAATTTGGTAAATAATATGTCTGGTAAATTTTAAGCTTTACAAATAACATTTTGAAAATAATTTTATAATTAAAAAATTTAAATTAATTGAATATAAAATATTTGTTTAACTAGTCACCACACACACTTAATTTAATTCTATATTTATTTGATTGTTAAGAACATACTGCACAAATATCAGGATTTAGATGATAGAATAAATTTTGTGGCCAACAAAGTTATTCACCTCGGGGACCAACTTGAAAGTGTTAATACTCCTAGACTCAGATTGATGGAGGCTAGAAAGCTTTTCAAATATTACTCTGAATTTTTAAGCGAACAGTCAGAAACCCCAAATCCTGTAAACAGAGAAGCCTCTTTGACAGATACCAATATACCTACCATTGTTGTAACTAATAAAGATAAAGTTTCTAAAGAAGATAAGGAGTCAATATTCAAAGACCCTAATCAAGTTAATATTCCTTTAATTAAGACATACATATATATATATCAAATATAGTTGATGGAAGCTGCTGATATAATTCAAAAATTGCATGTCATATCTCAGGAAATTGTCTCAAATGATCGCCCTAACACCAAAGGCCCACCTAACGATAAAAGTAATTACATTTTGAATACATCGCAGAGAGATGGTTATTTTCTATTGACCAGGAGTGTAAAAGTCACCCTAAAAATCTTGGGGGCCAAGATGAACCCGAACCAGAGTATCGTGTATACAGGGGGTCTAATTGTCTCCAAATTATGGAGAGAGGCCACGTGATAATTTTTATGGTGAAGGGATGGAAGGGGGCAGCCAAATAAAGAAAAAAAATCACATCTTAAAAATTAAATACCGTCAATAATTTAGATCCTTTCAGCTCAACTGACCCAGTCAAGAACGCCTATGATGCTACTCTCGCCCGAGTGGACCTCATATACGAGCAAGTCGAATTATCCCTAATCGAGGCCTTTGTCTCTGCCTCGGCCACCGGTCTAGCTTCTTCTCTTCCGGAAGGAGCACAAGATGGCGATGGGGGAGAGATGGAACGCATGCGCGGGCTAGTTAGGACGTCCGTCAATTTCAAGGTGTCACAATTTTACATTTTTTCGAAAGTAGCCCCCCCCCCCAAAAGGGGGTGGGGGAAACCTTCTTAATTATTTACTTATATTGAAATTGTAATTTATTGTATTTTTGTTTGTTTGTAAAAATAGAATTATTATAGATGTGTTGACGCTTTCATGGAACAATGTCAGCTGGTATTATGCCTATTCCTTAATTTATTTATATTAAAATAATTTGTAAATACAGACAGATAGTGGATGGATGGATGAATAAATGTATGAGAAATTTCCGATTAGACTACGATAAATTAAGGAGGGAGGGGGGTGAGGAAAAAGATAAATAAATGCATATTAACCAGAATTTAGAACATGGAAGGTTCCCATTCCAAACTCTGGTTGCAAGTATAGTTGGGTAATTAAAATATATTTTTTTTACCGTTTAGGCGGTCGGCTAAACCAAGTTTTTTAACCGGAAGCTATCACTTTGGCCTCTGGGTTTTTCTTAAAAAGATAGCGCTTCAAATTTGGAAGATACTAATGTAAAATTAAAACTCCTTAATGTTAAACTATTTCCCCCTGAGCTCGTCCGATGATTGAACCCGATATTTAGCCATTACCCTTCTATAGTTATAAGAGACAGGTCGGGAATTGGTTGAGCAACTTTGAACTAGGGACATAGAAACTATTTTTTTTTTGGAGAAATGTTTATAAAAAAGTATATCACTAACCTTCCTTGTGGAAATATAAAACTAACTTTACAGACCGTTAACGACACTTTTAAAATGTAACAAAATCGATACAAATTACGATACATTTTTTTGGGGGAAAATAAATTTATTTATAATTAACAATTTTGTTCCGTATTGAGAAATTGGCGAAGCATTGTATAAAATAGTTGGAAAATTAATACTATCCACACTTAATAAAAAAAATCAAAAAAAAATGATGATATCCCATCTAACGGCTAACTCAATCCTAATATTAAGATATATCTCCCACCCTTTAGGGTTAGGGGTACTCTTAGTTCTTCTGAGAGTAGAGACAGCTGTTTTAAGATAGTGTCTAAGCCTCGAATATCTGATAATACATGTCTATAACATTGTTCTTTCTATGAGCATAATCTTCAGGCTGGCCTAGTATTTTTTTCTGGATGAAATATTGAGTCAGCCGTTTTTAAAAATCGGCTCAAAACGGGCCGGCCGTTCAACAACCCCGATTCCCATCTTTAGCTACCCTTCCTATCGAAACATTGCGAGCAAATAAATCGATTTGTTTAAAAAAAAATATTATTATTATCATTAGGAAGATACATGTATTTTTTGAAAATATTATATTATTATTATATGTATAATATGCCAACGTCAGTGTGTAATTTTCTTTTTAAAAAAATGAGATTTTACCGGGTGGAATACCTTATCGTCTTATGATAATTGTAAGGCAATTTCGCTGTTAAACCTTTGAGTAATTTATAATTTAATATAATTTAAAAAAAAAGAAGGTATCAACGGAAAATTTAAAATAAAATTTTCTTTTTTAAAGTTTTTAAAAGTTCTTGGGGGAAAAAAAAATTGTCGGAAATTCGTAGGGGTAGCTAGGTATTCCAAACAAGATGGCGCCCATTTCCGGTAAGAATCATATTTTTTTTTAAATTTAAAAAAAAAGGCGCCCAAAGAAATGATTTAAAGTTGAAAAAGTAACACATTCGACGTTAAACATATGTAATCAGAGAAAGAAAGAAAGGAAGGAGAAGAGAAGTAATTTAGATAAAGATATAGCTTCCAAATCAAACGAATAATATCGGATCAAATTGGTTATTTTTAAAAAAGAAATAATTGGTATGATTCGATTTCTTTAAAAACCAAAGATTCTGTGAATATCGTACCTGAATATATACGGTCCTTGAAGATAAAATCGAAATAATTTTTTAAAAAATATGGAGGTTTTTATCGTTTTTTTTGTTCTCGTTAAAGAGGATAAAACCGGTTTTTAAATATCGGATTACGTAATCGCCAAAACCGGGTGCGCCAATATTGATACCGTCTTATATCATCTATCGGTTCGGATCCGATCCCGTTTTTAAGAGTGAAATCGGTACATTTCTCCATTTTATTTTTTTCTCATTTTATATTTTAAAAAACAGGGAGCATTTTATAGGCAAGATATATTCGGAGACGCCCTCATACTCTGTAAAAGAACTTGCAAATTGATAGAGAACATTTTCCCCAACCCTCAACGAGTGTATTCCAAATTCATCATCAACATTTTCCAGGGAAAAATAAACGTAATAATCTCAATATACCGCCATATATTATAAAGGGTTTATCACATGAATTCTTCTCGATAAAAATAAACCAACTAGTACTTTTTCTAGTACGTGGGAAGATGTGATAGGTCAATCTGTAATCTTCTAAAGGCCGCATTCATGGTGGATCCGATCCGACATGATAGTAACAGCTGATCGATTTTTAAAATCTGTTTACGAGTTCAATTTTTAAAAATAAACCAACTAGTACTTTTTCTAGTACGTGTGAAGATGTGATAGGTCAATCTGTAATCTTCTAAAGGCCGCATTCATGGTGGATCCGATCCGACATGATAGTAACAGCTGATCGATTTTTAAAATCTGTTTATGAGTTCAATTTTTTTTTAAAAAAAAATATTAATTTTATCTTTAATTCTATGCATGATAATAACCTAAGAAATATTAGGTTTTAATAAAGAAAAATTGATTCTCGTAAACCGATTTAAAAAAATCGATCAGCTGTTAAACCGAAAATCGATCAGCTGTTAAACCGTACCGGATCGGATCCACTATGAATGCGGCCTTTAAGCCTGTGCCATTTAAAAATTGACTTTTTACCCAGAGATATTTCGTTAGGACATAATGGCGCGTAATCACGGATTTAAATAAATGAATGAATGAAAAATTTTTTTTTTATGGCAGGATCACATTCAACAAATCCTAGAGGAGAAATCTGCCAACAATACAGAATTGTATCTAAAGAATCTGCACGAGCTCTATACCAAGTATCAAATTATAAATAAATTCGGTTAAGCACGTTTCCACTTGGGTCTCCTTGGAAACAGCTGAGCGCTGAGTCACTCATTTATCTGGGCTCCCCCGCTTGAGAGTTTATTTGGACCCCTTTCTAGAGATTAAATACTTAGCCAATTCATGAACTAAGGAATCGGCATGGGCCGACTTAAACTCGTCCATTGCCCGGAAATTTTTTGATCGGGGTTTTTTTGGCTCGGCCCCATAAATTAATAATTTTGTACGGGGTAAGTTCGATCCCGAAGTAATTCATCTGCCTCGGCACGAAGATTGCTCAATTTTCCGGTAAGTTATGAACACAATCTTTTATTCATTTTTTTTTGTTCAAAGAACCCAAAATTTGTGCGATAATTTGATCGACGTGAAAATGGGGATTGACGAACAGTTCCTGAGTAGGCTCATCAAAAATTTATTCGGGAGATATCTGGAAAAATATATCAAGTTTGTTTTTTAAAAAAAAAATTTTTTTTTAATTACTCTTTTCTTATTTTCTACCTTTTTAGATCTTTGATCCTTCGTGCCCCACATTCGCAATTAGTGGGTATTGGCGCCAAAATATACAAAAATGTAACGTAATTTGTATATTTTGCCGCCAATTCGCGGTAACTTGCCAACGCGAGGTTAAGAAAGAAAGAAATATTTATTCAAAAAAAAATGCTCTAATCTAAATTATAAAAAAAAATATATATATTTAAAATATTTGTTTTATTTTATGAAGCATCGAAATCAAATTTTTTCAGGGCAAATGCCAAACTGTATTGGACGCGTTTTACTCAAGTTTGCACCACGAAAAAAAGCCCATACCAACCGGAGGGTATTATTTCTATATTGTTTTTTAAACCCTGGTTCACCCTGTCCCTTTTAAATATAACCTATTTCTAATTCTAGCCTAAACTGTCACGAAATTTGTTTTTTAGGGGGGGGGGGGAGTGTTAATGTTGAAGTTTACCGAATCAATGACCCGAAAAATAAGGTAAGAAAGAGGCGACAGTTCTATTAAGGGACACTTAATATGGCGGGCACATTTATCGCACGTCTAAGGAGCGTTACGGTGTAATACGGCTCTTCCTTTTTTTCATCCTTTTTTTTTTAAAAAATATAAATTTCGGTTTTCCATCGCCTGTGTGACTAACCTATACTAAATATAATGCATTAGGTGCAAATCCTGATGGGGTAATAAATTTACTTTCAATTCCATCAGCGTCAAAACCGCCAAAAAAAAACGATCCCTGATGGGGTCTCAAATCCCTTAGGCGGGAAAACCCTTTTAAATTGACCTTAGTTTAAAACGCTTTTCTATTTAAAAAAAAAAAATAAATAATAAGATTGACGGACTTTAAGAGGATGATAGGCGTGGGACAGAACGAACCCCTTTATATCTACAACGAATCGGAGCCGGATGCCATCAAATCTCGCCACAAGAAAATGGCGCTGCTTTTGGTTAGCGATGACGTCGTCTGCAAGAATATGTTGGAGGATATCAAGATTAGTCTGAACCGCAATAAAAAGGTTCGTTTTTTTTAAAAAAAAAAATCTGAAAAAAAAGAAAGAAAAGTGAACAAAAGAAAATGTCTAAATATATTTTGATATATGCCTAATAAGCTATCAACATCCAAAGCGGCAACCAACAACGCGTTTCTCATTTACGACGTTTTGGTGGAATATCTGTTTGTTCAACATCTGGAATACGCTATAGACATAGAATTGCAAAGTATGCCCCCCCCTTCTCTACCTCCTTTTTAAATGCGACGTTTATTCGATAGTTATTATGAGAGGCTTTTAAATAGTTTATCGAGTAGTGTCATTGATTTAGCTTAGAAATTTTTCTCGTAGGTGGCAGAAAAGTTTGGACCTCTATTTGCTAAATCTCGCAGCTTACATAATAATATTTTGGCTAAAATCTTATTCGGACCGTGGTTCCTGGAACTTATTTTGACGCTTGACTAAAAAGTGGTTAGGAGTTAGTTAAATATGGATATCTCTTCAATATGAGTGTGAAAAATAATGACCTCTCCACCCAAGAAGCCATTTTTGACAATAAAAAAATTTTTCCTCTTCCTCTCCACCCGTTACAGATTTATTGAACATCGATTCGAATTTGAACAAGTATTATCCGGATTTCCCTGAGGTGACATTCCTTAGAACTCTGAGAACCACGACCCGCATATTCCACAAGGTAGAAGAGGTGCACGACGAATATCTCACGCCAATTGTCAGGTTTTTTATTGAGTTTTATTTTTCTTTTTTCGTAACCCTACGCCAAAACCTGTTCATTGACGTATACTACTCTACCTAGACCGATGATCCATTCTTTTAACACGTGTAACGGGTATGAATCAGCTGATCTTTGAACGGCCTCTTTTATTACATAAGAATTTTTGTATTCAAGTAAGCGAAAGGGTGCCCCATCAGCTGTTTTATATTCAACAACGCTTCGAAACCCATTTTGAATGAATGAATGAATCATCGGTTTATCAAGCAAAACCCGAAAAAGAATCACGAATTCTAAACTATTTAAATTGATTATAGAGCAAAAAAAAATGTACCCATACTTAATTATAAATGCGAAATATTTAAACGCCAAAGTCGGGACCGGTCCGATTCGTTGACCCGCAAATGGCGCAAGTGGAGAGATAACCTGGAATCGAAGGCGGCCGCTGGGCTCGAAAGGTTCGCCCAGACCTTGGTCTCTCGGGCCCGTTATACGTTGACCGCTTTGCAGAAAAAGGTCGATTTTGAACCCAAAGGTGGCAAGGAAAACTCGGGAACTAGTTACACTACGGAAGCCGCAAAATCGCCTGTAAATTATTTTTTAAAGGGGTATTTTTTAAATAAGGCCAGGGAAGCAATTTTGAAATAGTTGCAGTTAATAGATGGAAGTTAAAAAAATTTTTTTATTATTTTTGGAAAGAGGGTATTGTGAGATCTGACTCGACAGATACTGAAGATAGAATTCTTGAAATCCCAATCTCAGGATTTCCTATCTTAAACTTATCATTCTTTTCTATGTTATATTGATAGTTCTTTAGAAAAATGTTGATTTCAAAAAGTGCCATGAATAGGGATGTGAATCCATTGACCAGAAAAACAGGGTCTGACTTCAGTGTTTTCGGAGAACAGAATATTGATTCAAAATAACACAATTTTTTTTAATGATTATAAAAATACGCATACATTAAGCTGCTAAATTTTATACGCCTATGTTTTGCAAAAAAATTTAGCCCAAATATATTGGCCTTTATGGCTTCTATATTTGGATGCTTTATTAGTAAAAACCAAATTTCCTACAAAGGTTATAATAAAAGTATTGGTAAATATATAACAAATAAAAGGATTTCTTAGGAACCTAAAAGAATAACAATGATTAATGGTTATTATAATCGCGGTATATATATTTATTAGTGTGGGGAAGATGTGTTCCTAAATGTTCATTGTTGTTGAGATTTGGTTTTTGTACGGTGTTGTTATCCTTGGTTGAGGTCGATGGAAATCTGGTCTAAGTTCCAGGATGTTGTGGAAGGTATCAAGAATCCCTATCGTTTAGGATTCGTAGAGTGATCTGCTGGCTATCTTGTTCAACCGATGGGAGAGTTATAGTTGGCTCATTGACGTTTTCGAAGAGCAGCTGGATGGTTCATCTGCTGGGTTCTCATCCGTAGGAACCTTTATGAGAGACGGTGGTTAAGTCAGGCAGTCCCATTTCCTCGAGAACTTGGGTCAGGACTATCTCAATTGATGGCGAGTGGAAGCCTCTCTTTTTTAGACTTGCAGATCGTGGAGTCGGTAAATATTACATTTTTATCAATGGCTTGGAGAGCACCCATTCCTGCTGATAGTACCTCTATGGCATTGATATGGTCAATGGCGTGTGATGGGATGTTGAACAGACGAGATAGACATGTTGTAATCTTAAAAGAAGATGCCTATATGCGAATCGGACCCATCTACATACAAGGCGTTATCGGCAGACTGAGTTGAATAGGGTGTCTTGTAGTGCCGAGATAATGACATCCGCCTTCTTGAAGCCATGTATGCTATGAGCGTGGCGATTTCTGATTCATTGTTGTGTAATGCGGGAAGAAAAGCCTGGACATAACGATAATGGCATAGGCTAAGTGGTTAATCACTCTCAGTCCTTGCGGCAATGATCCTTCCGAGATGCAATCTCTGCTAGGAGTGTCAGGAGGACATCCAAACATTTGACTAAGCGCTGCCTGAAACAATCACCTAGATGATATTCTAATCTATGGTGGAAACGAATTCGATGTGAAAACTAGATCTCTAAGATTTACACTGGAAGGCTGGGGACTCACAATAACTCTCAACAAGTCTGTTCTAAATCTTACCCCCAAATTACATACCTTTCCCTATCTATCGACTTTGTTTATAAATCCATCAGCGCCGACAACAACACCAGTTTATAAGATAAAGTAGAAATAAACCTAATTTTTAAAATAAACCCGCCCGAAGGCTGGGCAACCGTTAGCCCCCAGGCTTTTAGAAGTATGGACGCCCACGCCACTGCTCTTACCACCCCCACAAAAATAGCAGTTAAAATGTCGATATATTTTAAAAAAAAACAAATAGGCATGTCAGGCCGTGGTTACCTTCATGAGTCAACAGGTCAATTACGTGAAAGGGAATCTTGATGGCAAGAATTTGGACAATTTCCTGATGGAGCTGGGAGTCGAATTTCACCGAACTATTTTGGATCATTTCTTGAATTACACCTTCAACCTAACAGGTTTAGTTATTATCAATAAATAATAACACCTGGACTGATGAATGTATTTATTAAAAGTGTGTGCATGTATAGAATTCAGCTGGAATCGATGTGATTGGCTCTAGTAGACCCCCCCCCCCAACATTTATCTTAAATATCTTATCAATGACAAACGTCAATATATTTGCATCTTTTTAATGAAGGGATTGTCAATCTGCTTTAGTATTAATGTCATTGGTTATTTATAAGAACCTATTACGTTTGAAAAATATCGACCCATATTTTTAGCTTAATTTTTAATCCAAAATTTTGAATTAAACTAAAACGCATTCATATAAAATAAAAAAAAATCGCGAATTGCTTAGTCCTAATCCCATCGAAATTTTGATTGCCATTTTAATATTTTGAGCGAAGCCCGCATTTTATACCCTTTAAGCCGAACCTGGCACATTTTCTTTTTTAAAAAATTTAAGCCTGAACTCGGCTTTAGGCCCGAGCTCGACTCCGGGCCGGGTTTTGGGCCGACTTGCGATACTATTTGGAACCGTCACCCGAGCCTTTATTTATTCCAAGTTTTAAATTGTCGTAACTTTTACATTTATAGGCGCCATAACGGCCATCTGCGATATCAACGAATATCGAAACACCGCCAAGGACTGCTTCGACAATTTGCCGCTTATAAACAACTTATTCGATTCGCTCAAATCGCTCGTCAACTTGCTAGTCGTTCCGCCCCAAAACATTAAGCAGATCTGCTTGGGAGACGATTTGGTATAAAAAATAAAATGTCCGACCATATGAAAGAAAGGAAGAAAGATATCGATAATTTTTTTGAAAACTTTACCGAGATCGCAATAGATTTCTTATAAATGACAGAAAACTGCAATAGATACCAATTTTAGACCTGTCCTCTAAATTGTTGTTTATATTTTTCCATTCTAGACTTATTTTATGGCTCGGGTCCTGCAGTTCCGTTTTCTTTAAAATTTCAATCACATTTATTTTTGCAACGATTATTATATTCAATACGTTTTTTTTTCTCCAATAGGTAAACATGGATCGCACCATGATTATGAATTTCGTACAGCTACGAGCTGATTACAAAAGCGCTAAGATCAATGCTATGTTTCGATAGTATATTGTAGTTCCCTGCCAGAACTTTCTAATACTGGATATAGCGGTTTCTTGTAATTGCAACATAGTAGATGGGACAATTCAAGTTTAAACCGTGATATCTGTCTATTAAAAAAAAATTGCAAAGTATTTATTAAAGTATTAAAATTGTTTTATTTTGAATGATTATTATTATTCATTTTTTTTTGGAAATTTCATTTAATTGGTATATTTTTTATTTTTGAAATATTTCCATAACTTTTAATTTCGCATTTAAAAGAACAAATTTAAAGTTATCGAAATATTTCAAGAAATAAAAAAATATTACCAAATGATGAATTTCCATATTATTACTATATAGAAAAATGCGATTGTTTTATATTTTGTGTATTGATTGATACCAAGAGGAACGAATGCTTTATTTTTTATATAGCATATATCTTATAATTTATTTAATGTTATTGTTTGAATACAATTTATAATTGTGTTCTCTATAATAGTACCTATAATATAAATAATACCATTTAAACGATATGTTATTACCCGCGTAATTTATTAAACGAAAATATATAATAATATAATGCTCAAATACATTTTTAGTTGTCACATATATAATTTTGAATTAATTGTAATAAAATAGTTAAATAATTCTTCTTCTTCGTTTGATGGCGATTTCCAGGTTGCCCAGCTGTCCATCTGATTAAACATTAGGAAATTTTATAGCAAATCTCAGCAGCTCAACTGAGATTTTGACGATCTGAACCCAACCTGTTTTCCTGTTAGAAAAATATTAATTAATAACTACCAGTGAGGAACAATTAATTTATTGAAATTCGCGAATTTTGGTGATTTATCAATACATTTTTTTTTCGTATTAAATTTTTGTATAATCGTTATTTAAACTAAATTGATATAAATTGAAACTCCTTTTAACATGGGCAGCACCTCAGTGTCCAGACATTTCTGGACAACAGTTTTTCTCGTTTTTACGGGAAAGGATTTTAGGAAAAATTGCGTATCCTTAATAAGAATTCCTATCTTTAGTCGTAAACATAGTGTTTTAAAAAGATTGCAACTTTTTTTTCGATCATTTTTAGAGGAATATTCTAAAATTAGGATTACTAAATTGTAGCTTGAATTATGATAGGTTCTCTAAAACGTCACTCAGAACTGTTTCAAGAATTTTTAACTCTATTTATCTGAAATTTTTATAATCGGAACTTAATCATAACCCGGTTTTCTAAGAGAGGTCCGAACCATACCCGGGTCCATTTTACCCCGGGTTCGATGAGTTGTCCATAAATCGGTCTCCGCTAGGTCGGTGGTCTCATAAATGCCCAACCAAACAATTTTAAATTTCTGTATCCAGGTTGGAGTCCACATTCCTGGACAGCGCGTTCAAAACCAAATTATTTAGATTTGTCATTTTTTTAACCCTTAGTTTATCAGCAGAATTCTTTGAGAACCATGTTTGCAACTTTATTTTAATTGTACTATCATTTTATTTAAATAATATTCTTATGACTTTTATTTAACTATAAATGTATATTTCATTTTTAAAATAGGAGGGTAAAATTTTTCAACGAAGAGTACACAGATAGGAGCAGCGTCAATATCAAAAAGTAGAATCTCCTATAATATAAAATGGGAATTTTTTTTTAAGATCTTATTTTAGCGAGCAAACAATAATTATAGGTTAGAGTCTTACATGGATTCGTCTAAAGGATAAGGTGGGGCCGTTAGATGATTTCACTATGAGCTCCTCTTTATCCGAAAAATGCTAGATGTTAAGTTTCCTTCCTATTCTTCCTCTTCCTTTCTTTTGCCTGATTGAATATCACATTCATAAATATATATTATGGAAAAAATTTTTTTTTTACAAAAGATTAGATGACTATTCATTTTCATATCATAATTTTGTGGTTTAATTGAAAAAATATCAAAGTTATCGCTTGAATATTTAAATTAAAATTTGCAAATTGTTTTAAAACTTTCAGAAATTTTAATATATTAATGAAATCATATGTTTAAAAATTTGAAATGTGTACAAAATTTCAAAATTTTACCAATCTTATTTTTTTAATATTTGAGACTGAGCCTTATAGAATGCCATGTAAAATTTTGAATTTGAAATTTCTTCCTTAGAAACTCTTCTCTTTTTTATGCAAAATGGCCGCAAAGGCCAGGTCTTGATCTTAAAAAAAAAATTGGCCAGCGACGTTGGGTGAACTTGGGCCTCTTAGTTATTTTTATTTTCTATTTGGCAGGGGCTTCACTAGCAGTAGCACAATCTCGTCACCTTCTTTATCAGTCAACATTTTAAAAAATTATATTTGGTATTAAGAAAAAATAATTTATTTTTTGAGGTGGCGTTTCAAATTTTCTCAGCAGCTCTACTGCTATTTGGTTATAAAAATAAAACAAATTTTGAAAAAAAAATTTTGCCAACTTAAAAAAAAAAATTTCCATGAAAAATTAACATTTTGATCGCAATTTTTTGTTGTTGGAAGGTATCTCGAAATTTAAGACCCCTGGAAGAAAAAAAATATAACTTGTTTACAGATATTTTTAAAACACCTTATCACCTAGGTACTGGTTAAATTTTAATTGGTTCAATAACTATCAAACGGGTAAAACCAATTAACGTTTCAGGATCGTTTTGGATTAATGTATAGAAGCCACTAAATGCGAGCTCTGATCTCTTGGTTTAATCGTCGGTTATAGTCGATCCAGACTTGTTACCGATACTTTAAAAAGTATCGAGAACTGATACAGTCATAAATTCTAAAACGGGCCGGCCGATACCAACATTGATATATATATTTTTTTTTCAAATGTATTAGTATAAATACGATATATATGAAATCATCGTTACATTTTTAGGAAATAATTATTAACAATTAACAGATACATCTATATTAAATAATAGCAATATATATTATATAAAATATTTAACAAGCAAACAAATATTTATTGGATCTCAAGGAGATATTCCCTCCGATCGTTAAATTTTTTTGCTTCTGTATTTTATAAAAGTTCAACTTGTGCCCTGGCAAGAATGGTAGGGGTTGTATGTAATAAATAACTGCTTCATATTTCAGAAATTTTGTGCTAAAAAAAAATTTATCAAGGTTTTTGTTTTATAAATAAAATTAATTTTATCATAGTAAAAAGTGCGAAAGTAACTTAATCAAATAAAGAATTTTTTAATATTTTTTTTTATTAATAAATAGAGAACTATTAAATAAGATTTTAAAAAAATTCCAGATAGATACATAAAATGTATCGGGTTAAGATGACGTTACATTAATTCAAAAGTATTGCCGATACCATCATACAAAATGTATTGAATGTGCATTATTGTTGATACAAGACTTACTTTAACAATCTGAATAAATCTAAAAATAGCTACTTATTACTACTTTTCGCTGAATATTCTTAGTAATCCATTTACTGTAATGGTTTCGATTCACAAAAATTCAGATTTATTTTAGAGAATATATTCGCGAATTCTGGGCGTTAGTACACCAAGAAATTCATGCCAATACCGCTTGATAAATAAATTGTAACTTGATACAATAAATTGAAGACTAGAAAGGGTTTTACAAATTTAATTATATTTAATAATACTGAAAATTTAACTTCGGATAATAAAAATATAAAGATTGAAATTAGGCAAAAAAATAATAATTTAAGCTTTTTTGTATCGAATTAAATGGATAATGAAATCAAATAATAATTATCTTTTAAATCAAAATAATCGCCTTTTTATTATTTCTTATTTTAGTTTACTTTTTTTCATTTGTCGTAAAGGAAATTCGTTAAAAGTAACGTCTCTCTGATAACGTTACTTTTTAATACTGCTTTTGGAGAGTAAAGAAGAATGTTTCTCTTTTTTTAAAAGTAAATATTAGTAATTATCTTTTAAATGTGGAAGGACTCTTTCTTTCTTTCTTTCTTTCTTTCTTTCTTTCTTTCTTTCTTGAGTGTAAGATTATTATAGAGGGTCAAAATTTAGGAAATTACAATTAGCACAAGTTGATTCATTTTCGTAATTGGATCTTTCTTTTAATAATATGACCTCTAAGATTTAACAGGCTTTCAATAAAAAAAAAAATTTTGAATTTTATATTTAAAAAAAAAACCGTAAGCTATTATCTGAAAATTAAATTAGAGAAATATTTGTATCACCTAAAAACTACTGTTTGCTGTGCCAAGGACAGGTTCACTGGTGCAGATGATGTTACCGTATAATTAAATTTACACAATCAAAGGTTGATAAAATTGTAGCACAGTAATTACAAATTTTATTTGTCGAATTTTTTTTTATTTTTATTACATTGGATCAAATTTTTCTGACATTAAAATAAGACTTTGGTTAGTGTAACGTTCACACCACCACCAACTACTATTTTTAAAAAAGACTAAGTGTTTTTTTTTAAATCTAATAACGACAAGGGGCATTTATATTAATTTTGTGTTGTCACAATATGCCTTTGATAAAAACTATATGATTTATAAATTATGGTCGAAAATTTACACATATTAATACATTACATATTACATTTTTCGCTAATATTCGTTCAAGTGGTTTTACATATTGCATGTTACTACACAAATAATACATCTATACTACTAGGTTGGTGATTCATTTATTAATCGCAGTTGGCACGTCGATTTAAATGACATTTAATGTGCATTCATATAATGATGCGTAAAGACAATTGGTGTATACGCGCAAACCTTAAAATGGAGGTACAGCTGATTCCTATGTACGGACAATTTTAATAAATGAAAATCACAATTTTTGTACCCATTTACCGAACCCTGTCATCCTTTAATTTTTTATTGATATGTCTACCTATGGTCAAAATTCATTCTATTCTTTTTAATAATCCCATTTCTATGTGTTACAGGCCATTCCTATTAAACGCACCCAAGCGACAATTCGTTGAATATGGAGACTTTATAAAAATTACAAAGGGCAGAATTGAGGAGTGTTCCCCAGATTTTAGGGTCCAAAGAGAGACCAACGCGCATTCTTGAAAGTTCCGAAATCTCGCGGGTATTCCATTCAATAGTTCCTCATCACTTTATTATATAAAATACCAAGATATATCTCTCAAAAAATCGTTTTTACTTGAGATAGAATGAATACCAAATTTAATTATTAATTTTTTTTTAAGAAATATTGTTCTATCTACATACGATTTCTAAAATTAAAAATATTATTCGAAAATAATGATAATTACTTAATGTAAATAACACAACACAACAAAGAGACTAAAATTTTATTTTACGAATTTAAATATAATATTTTTAATGAGATGGATAAAAATCAATGACTTTAATATTTCAGTAATATCAGGAACTTTATATAAAAATATG